TTTTAAAACATTATTTGTATTTTTAAATCGCTGTATGCAGTGTAGCGAGGTGGCATTTTAAAACTCAAATCTAATGTGATAGATGATACACGGTTGTAAACGTACTCAAGTCACAAGCATGACAAATTTCTGGTGAGAATTAGCCATACAAAGTAGTCTATTTCAATGATGCATCCAGAGGAGAGCAGAAAAAAAAGTCTTGTGTTGAATTAGACCAATATATCAAAGTGCTTTGTCTATAGTTAACATCTAAACTACAGGTCCCACGAATCTTTACATGGCCTGGTAATTTGTAGAAAGTTACAGGTCAAATACCAACTTTTGTCTTATTGACACCTAGCAGCCAAAAGCAGCATCCATTTCATTTAACTCTTGTCAAATGCAGGATCAGCACTGAGCTAGAGTTACAGTGTTTTCTGAATGTGCAGGTTGCATTTCTTTCCTGGCATTTGTTGCATTTTATTTTCCCTTCCAGCATTAAAAGACATTCTGCTTGTCATTAGTGCACTTTACTGAGACTGGCAGTGAGTCAGAACATCTCTAATCCTCCGTGCAGCCCTGTTATACTCATGTTATTTTTTTAAACCTTGTCAGTCCTGTCACTATCTCAGGAAGAAATGGAGCTTCATTCTACTGGGATTCAGGTGAACTCACACATGGTTCCTGCCTTAAAGATTAAAAGACAGGTAGGTTGTTTTGCCCACAGCTAGATGAGGTGCCCACAGGTTGTTTGCTCACTTAACTACATCAGGAAAGCAGGTGCACACAGATCTAGTTGCGCTGGTTCCTCTGTCTGTCTACCCTTAGCTTGCCAAATAACCCTATTCCTGGTAAACTGCGATGTACAGAAGAGATCAGGGTCCAATATAGAGAGGCCAACAGACAATGGTGGCTGAGAGGTAGTTCCACTACATGGGGTCAACATTACCTCCTCTCTCGGGTCTTGACCTGGACTAACCCATCTCCTAGGAGCCAGAGACATTGTTTTCTCCCAAGCACAATGCTGTCCTAGCCAAAGACACGTCTAAGAGCCTTGCCTAAACTCTGAAGACCATCTGGGCAGAAAATATACAATGTGTTGGGATTTAAAAGAAAGAGAGGATTCTGAAACACCGCTATTGAATAAATTCATAATGGTTGCTAAAAATACATTTTATAGGTGTAGCAGAAACATTTCAAAGACTGAACATAAATGGTAAATTATATTTTCCTTCTTTGGCTATTAAATATGTATGACTATTCAATTATACAGCTTATCAGCTCAAGAATTCTCAAATTTCATTACATTTAGCTACATTTATTATTATTATTTCTTATTAACAACAAAAAAAAATATATCTATGCAATCACTAGAGTTAAAGAGAGAAAAGACCTCTTAGGTCAGCAAGTTCATCTTCCTGCCATTGCAGTTATTTCCTATTGCATATTTATTTATGCTTCTCAAATCTAATTTTGTATTCCACAAATAGTAAAATAATTCCATCATTTCCATTGTGGAGAGTATTACAGAATTTAGTGCCTTTTGCTATGAAAAATGATCAGAGCTATCTCAATATACGGAAACAAGGTATCCTCATCTTCTTTTTAGTCTCTTTTACATACATTCATCATTGTGAAGTAACAGAGAGAGCTGGAAAATGCAACGTTTTTTGTTAATCTCCAGGAACTCTGAAGGATGTTAATGGCTTTTTGTTCACGACAAGACTAGGGCCAGTTGAGTAGTGCTACAAAACCTGCTGGCACCAAGGCTCAGCGTACCGCTGGCAAGAACTACTTTGTGCACTGCTCTGATCCCAGCCGGAGGCTGCGGAGGAGCAGGACTGATGCTGGCCTGGCCCAAGGCACGCCATTGAGCACGCCACGTTTTACCACGCTACCCGTCTGTTCCCTACTCGCCCAACGTTGTGCAAATGCGCCGAGCGGCCTTTCCTTACTTTCCCTACTGCCTCATTTGATCTTTCCTGACAGAGAGTTTGTAGTAAGGGGGGTGGACGGGGCAGCACAAGAGGTGGGCTGTGGAAGACTCAGCTTGGGCGGCTTTGAGAGGAGGCTGACAGCTTGACATCTTACCGGACAGGTCTGCCTGGTGGGTCTTCAGTAGGAATGGTTGGGAGTCCTATTTTTGGAATGGGCCAATATTTTAAGAACTTTTTCAGGAAAGGACTATTTTCTCCATCTCCTGTTTTGACCATTTCAAAATGAAAGTTTGGGGATTTGTTTGTTTAAAATCAAAAAGTTGTTTTTGAAGAATAAACTAGTCCTGGGAAAAATGTAAGTAAGCAAGCTCAAATCTGAAGCAGTACACTTTGAAATTACCAAAATGAAAGATTATAAATAAACCAGTTTTTGTCTTTTGCTATTTCAAGGCTGTCCAACCTGAGAGTAACCAGCATATTCTAGGCTTCTTTCACAGAAAAAAAACCCAGTTCTTTCTGATTCCAAAACTGAGAGGCCCTACCTCTGTAAACCCACAGGCATGAATTAATTTTATTAATTTCTTTTTTTCCCCAAAACAAAAGGACCATTTGTATCATTGTAAAACAATTTGTACCCAGCTCTAAGCAGGAAAAAATAATTACTCTCCCTTAGTGCAGTTTTTCAAGGTGGTGTAGCCAGAATGGATTGAACTGTATGTGCTTACATTTGGGATCTTGTGAATAGTGCCTAGTGCCTCATGAAGCTATTCAAGTACCTTCTGTCTTCATCTGCTCCTGTATACCAGCAAGAAAGGAAAAACAGCCGCCACCCTCTCCCATTGCCTTTGCAATTCAAAGCCGTCGCTAAAAACAAGCTTCAAAATGAGGTACAAAGTTTCCATATAGGCAGATGTTATCATCTTGAAATTCTACAATTACTATATAGTGTCTCAGATCCTTCTTCAGATGTTTGCATAGATCCCAGTGTAGTCAGGTAACAGATACTCTGAATAAGCAGAAAGAGGAGTATCAGCTACCTGATGAACTGAATTATCAGTCTTTTGATTTTGAGAGATTAAGGTATAGCATTTAACAAAAGTCTGAAGATCATTGCATATTACTGCTTTACAGATCTCAAAGAAGGATATGTTTCTGAAGCAAGATGTGTGTGCTGCTTGCAATCTAGTGAAACACCAACATTTGCAGGGAGAGATGAGAGAGATTCGTGGCTAATTGATAGCAAGCGGAGATGCAGAATTGCTATTCTCAGCCTCAGTGGTGAAATGAGTTGGGTTTTGGTAAGCCACGTGTGCAGAGGAAAAGGTAGAGGTAATCTAAAAAGTTGACTCTTATCAGTTAAATTGTGCATGTCTGAAACAAACTGTTGCATCTTTGCTCTTCTTAATAGAGCATTTCTGTGGATGGCACCATGCAGAGAGTTTGCCAACTAGGTCCTTCACATTTGGTTACTTTCCATTTGAGCTGATAATCACCAAGAGAACCAAGAAAAGAAGCAGATGATGCATCGAACAATCCAGTAGTGCCTTTGAAGACAAGCTCCATGAATTTAGTGTTAAAATGTCAAGTTGATCTTAAGGAATTTGGACAGTATTAAGAATGAGATGACCATTGGTATCACTTGCCAGTACAGTGGCAAGGTGCACTAGGAGCCAAGAGTCAACCAGTCTGTTTAAAACGCAACAAGGGTCTTTGGCACCAGAGCCAATGAATTATGCTGATTGTTCCTAATTTGAGCATTTTCCATTTGAAGGAACAGGTCTGCCTTGTAGGTGGGTGTTCACTGTGTAGAATGATTTCTGTCTCCTGCTGAAGCATTGCTGGCAAGAGATGGTTCTCGGCGGTGACATTTGAGTCGCCGGTTGCAGTGGCTGTGGACACAGACCTGGTATCTGACACGTCCTGTGAGGTCATTTCCAGGCAGGTTGGAAAAATGGTTGGAACAGACATCTGCAAATGATCTGTCAAGCTGTCTGTGCTAGTAGAAAAGTATTAGAAACAGCCTTACTCGCTGTCTGTCTTCATTGGCAATCAGTGGAAAAAGGGGAAGAAAATACAAGTAGCCCATAGGTTATCACTGTATGAAATTATTTGATAAAGAGCTTGAGTTCTTTCTTCCCATAGTGCTGAGAGAACTAAGGCAAGAGTCTCCCTGCAGGAAAACATCTTTTCACAGGGTTTTGCAGAAATCCCCTGTGGCTGCTGCCTGCTTGCCTGCCTGCCTGCCTGCTTGCCTGGAAGAAGGGTGCCGGGCACTGATGTGACTGTGATGCAGAGCCAGTGGGGTGACCCCCAGCAATAACCTCGGGTTTGCTGTCAGCAGAGAGGGAATGCCTGAGCTCTCCTTGCTTGTCGATGTACTCTTGATGGTGGGGATTTGGCCTGTTGGGATTTGGCCTGTCAGGATTTGCACTTCAAAATATTCAGGAAGATGAAGAGCCTTGGCAGTCTCAGGAGGGTGAATGCTAAGTTTAAGCTTTCAATACAGGTAATTTTATAAGTTTCAATGCAGTTTGCTACTTTCTTGGAAAAGAAGGAGACTATTAGTTTTAAATTATTGGGGTTATATTTAGTTCAATGGCTAGTGGCAGGCAAGGCTTTGCACAATCGAATGAATGTAATTATTCTGCTGTTACCAGAAGAAAGTTGAAATAAAAGTCATATGACAGACAGTTTCAGGAATACAGAAATGCAATAAAACCCTAAACTTTTAAAGGAAATAACTTTTCCAGGCAAGGTGATATACATTCAGTAAAACTACATCAAACTGGATTACAGTAATTTGGATTACAGGAAATATAGTGGAAACCAGCATTCATTACTCTCTTTCTTTTCTGAATCAAATCATGTAACATTTTTAGCTGATAATAGAACAGATAAAATATTTCGACTTATAAATGAAATACTGATGAAAAGGAAGCCTAAATAAACTATATTAGCATTAGTTATGTAACAAATATAGCCATGTAATAAGTCTAACTACCATTTTATTAATTGACATGCAGTTAATTAGTATCTTAATTAAAGAAATCTCAAATATTTATTACTTCAGTATTTTTTACTCACCTGATTGCTCTGATGACAGTTTTAAGAGGAGGGGTGAGATCTTCTACTGACACATCACACTGGCACCCTTTATCATCATAAGCATCATCTGTTCCAAGACTGGTGTCAGCTGCAAAATACAAGAGCAGACTAAACAAGCAGTATTTAAAAATCTCTTCCTTAGTGTTTTCTAACCACCTGCACAGTGGTTTTGGAAAAATAAGGACTACAAATCAAATAAGACAGAGCTTCATCAGTTTATAAACTATGTGATGCACTTGTCTGTGTCTGCGCTTGTGTCATAAAAGGCCTGGGTAGTCCCCAGTGTAAACAGTAGAAGTTAGAAAGGAAGAAAGCCCTGTTATTTTTCTAACAAATTAATAGTTTAGTACCAGTATGTCTATTCCTGGTGTCTCATTGTTTTTCATCACATTCTCTGTCTTAAGGGTGGTGAGCTAACAGATGTAATGGCAGAATCAAAAGATGCTGAAGTTATACTAAATTGTTATTTTTTTACCACTATGGATCAACCTTACATTGAAGACAAAGGAGAAGATCCATTTCATTTACTAAGGAGGCTGTGGAATGATCCAACACTGTATTACAGGTGAAAATAAATGAAGTACCTTTTTGCCAGAAATGAATAGAGAATGACATCCATCATGGATCAATTGCCACCTTAAACCTCAGAGCCGTACAGATATTGCAGCCTTTGCAACAGGAGCTTAAGCCAAGTTACTGTATTTATTTGCCTGGAAAAAATGGATCCTTTACCCTTTCCTAACACCACCTCTGCAGTTACCATTTGAGAACTAACTAGTAATCTCAGAAGTGCCCAGTGTACCTCAATACACAAGAAACCAGGGACTGATGCACGACCAAGAAGTTTTACAAACTTAAAATGCGCTGGAGTGGGAACGGAGGAAGGAGGGCAGGGTCAGTGAATGCCCCTATGTCATATATGTCTTGAAGGCACATGAAATACAGGAAACCTGTCTTGAGAGTAGATGTTTTTTCCTCCCAAACCATTTCTCTTCACCTGCATAAAGTCCAAGTGCCCAGGTGAAGAATTTCACTCAAGGTCAGTGTATTTCAACATGTGTCTCTGCTTCATAAAGAAGATGGTGTGAAGTGAAATAGTGATATGTGAAACAGAGGAAGAAGGATGGGATTCAGTAACCCTCAGTAACGGAGGAGATTTCTTCCCAGTCCTATGTCCCCACCTACATTCATGCTGTTATTTAAAACATAGGCTTAGTCATCCAGAAACACTGCAAGTAAACCATTTCAGGGGCTTCTATTATAAGCAAATTTGAAGCACAATCAGACACAAATGATTGCAGGACATTTTTTGCAACTTCCTTTTTCACAAAGACTGTAAATTAAAGATGAAAAATATTCTTTGTCAGTCAAAAGTGCCTGGAAATTTCATGGTACCTTTTAAATCTAATAGGAATGCTATCTCAGAATAAACAGCATTGTACTAGGCTGCATCTTCAGGTATGGCTGCATTGTTGTCTTCACAGATTTAATATTTGGCCATAATAATTTATTTTGATGACTCTGGCTAGTTCATTACACTCAAGAATATCTTTTCTTTTTTGACTGTTGCTGAACTGGTACATCCATGAGGAGCATCTACTGTAGCTTTGAAGAGCAGGAGGTTTTACATTTGACAGCTCAACTTAATATAGAAAGGAAGGTGGTTTATAGCCAAGTTAATAATGTCTTCAAGTACACATGAAACAATTAAACGCAACCTTGAAAAATTTTCTGTTTAACACTGTAAAAGTGAAATTTTCATACAAAACTTTGAAATCTCCCCTTCCACAAGCTTTGCTACTGACGGCTTATCTTATAGATAAAATATATATGTCTCTCCACCTATCCTGCATAACTAAGATTTGGATCCCTGCCCCAAAATGTAATTAGCTAAAATAAACTATGTAATTAGTTTGATAGATATATAAACTACCTAAAACTCTATCTCCGAAGGTGCTAAGTATTCCACGACACTAACTTTCCAGGTGTCATGTCTGATCAGCCTCTCCAGTTACTTCTCCCAGTGCTGAAATCTCCCAGCTCATTTCGAAGTACCATACTAAAGCCAGAGCTTTTTATGCTACTGGTATTGCCAGTGGGTCTCTAAGGTTTGAATCTACTCTGTTATGCCAGTGTAAATTAGGAATAATTCTGCTAAGGTCACAACAGCTACAACCATATAACCCCAGTGAAACAGGAGACTCCAACTTGAAAGTTTAAAACAAACATGTTTCTAAATGGTTCTCTCACTGATACGGTTCCTGGATGCTTTGCCAAGTACAGTATTATTAATAAAAGGGCTTCCTTAATGCAGTATATCTTTGCAGAACCATTTCGAGAACAGCATGGTGCAATTATAGTATTCCATGTTGCTCACATGTGGATACAAAAATAAGCAAAATCTTTAGACAGACGCTGGAAAATTCTTATAAATTTAAGCCAGCTTTAAGAAGAGATACCGCTCCTAATAAATCACCTTCTTCTTTTTCTTTCTAATATTCCCACTGACATGAATTTTCTTCATTATGGCAGGCACTCGGTACCACATGTCAATAAAACCTGTGAAAAGCTATAAACCTTGTTTGATTCATATGGGAAACATTCATGTTTCTTTATAATACTGAGCAGACTTGGGAAAAAGTTTGGGAAATGCAGAGTAACAATTTGGAAAAAAAAAAATTCCAGCTTAAAACCCCACTGAAATCAAAGTTCACATTCTGATGAATTTTTCCAGTGGAAGCTCATGTTGTGTACGACATAGTTATGAGGTGAGATGTACTTGTATCGCTTCTGTCCCTCTCGAGTTCATCCGCGAGGTCGGGGCTGCGTTAGGGTCAGTTTGGCTGCTTCGGCAGCTCCAGCTGTTAAAATCCCTGCCAGTTCCCAGACGGGGCTAAGCCACGGCCTCCGATGAGCCCTGCTCCATGCTGCTGCCTGTTCCCAGAGAGAGCCCTCCCCATCATTAACGGGGCAGGCAGACCCTCCGGTGCCAGCTCATGCCTAGCCCTGCCGGCATCTGCTTCTTCATCCTTCCCCATACCCCTCGGCTGCATCTCCTGCTGTCTGTCGGGGTGGCTGTGCATGGTCCAAGCGGGCTCCACAGGCAACCTTAGGCAACAGCTGCTCTGCATGAACCTGGCCACTCTGCCAGGCCTTCCCAGGGTTAGCACTGGTCCTTCTTTCTCTCCAGGCGCCTCTACCACCAGCTAAACAGGCCTTTCAAGTCTGTTGCTTGGGCAGCTCACGAATCCGGTCTCGACGATGGCCAAAGTGCCTCTTAATACAGGTTTAGACATACCCCTGCAAGTCTCCCTAAGAAGAGGTGTCAGCCAGTCTGACAATCCAGAAACACTTCCCCTTTTCTAATACCAGCATCTTTACAATTCAGGATGTGTTTTGACCCTAAATGTCAATCTGGAAAGTGTTTATTTCACAACTGATGAGGCATCCGCCATTATCTTACAATCTTTGACATTATTTACTTTGGGATAAAGTGTTCTGTTTGCCACTTTTTAATTTCTTCCTCTTTCTTCCTGAAGAGCAGTCTTTGATTTAATCACACAGCAAATCAGCAATTACCAAGAAATGGAAGAGAGGCATGCACAAGTCATTAAAATTGTCTTGATATTTCCCTGTTTGACACAGTATTTATGCATTCTTCATGCAAACTCCAGTCATTTATGATCACCCCAAATGAGTGGGCTAAAAATTACACTGTTCTGAAACATTATATGTCACCAACAAAAAATTTATGAGTTTGTAGCTGCATTTCATATGGCGCTGTGCAAAAGTTACGCACAGGGCTTGATTTATTATTTCTGTAAATATCATGTGTCCTTTCTTAGAAGTGTTTTCTGTTGTTTAATAACATGCTTTGGTGCCGGGAAAACTGTGACACTACTCTGATCACCCTCATAGCTCCATGCTTTCAATGTCAGTAACATTCAAGTAATTATGTGCCTGTTGAACAGAATTGAAAAGATTTTGTACTCTTTAATGTTTTCTGGGAACTGCCATATGCTAGCAACAACAATCCAGCATTAATAAGTGCATGTGCCGACACCATGAATAGTCCTACGGAAGTGCTCCTAGCGTAGTCAGCAGTATGGTGGTCCCAACATAGACCCTTTGACTTGTTTTTTGGAAGCCTTCAGAAGCACTTAGATCTTACTCTGACTGCGTAGGAGGTAGTTAGGGCTCTTCATGTGGGTGATCTAAATCATTCTGCTGAGGCTGAGTACCCACCTTTTAGACACGGCAAAACCTAAATAGGTGCCTGAAGTTGATAGTCTGCATATGACTCTCAATTATTCATGTTACAGCACAGTGTTGTGTCAACTTGGTAAAAAGCACACTGATTTGGGAAAAAAGTCTGATTGATTTTCGTTGTAATGCATGACTCAAGGTGAAAAATGGATGGTGGCCTAATTTTCACAGGTGCTGAGTTATATCAAGCCATAGTTTATAACTATCATTCAAAATCCAGAGTTCAACTTGGAAATTGAAGTCCAAGCAATTCATAATGCAGCTCCACAGCCTGTTCTCCATCCTGCTCGGCAGCCTCATCCGAGCGCAGAGCTGCTCTGGCTGCCCAGGGCAGCAGTGCAGGGCACCCCAACGTGGCACACTCATCTCCAAACTCATTTTCTGTGTGAACGGTCAGAAAGAAAATGCGTGGAGAATTCAGTGCATCTAATTCCTGGGCAAGTAAAGTTAGACATAAATTCAGAGCTTTTGGAGGACAGATTGTCCCATCACACGATGTGCAACCCTATGGGAGGTGCGGATGCATAGGTCTGCTGCAGCAGGGGTGCCCAGGCGGCTGCTTTAGCGTTAGACTCCTAACTGCCTTACTGTTAAATGGCTACTGAGCTCAGGTGACCCCTCTTGTTCAAGAAGCAATGCTGGCAGCTTAATGCTCTCATTATTCTGTTCTTTCAGCCCCTTTTGAAAGCAATGTAGAGCCCCTGTTATGCTGCTGTAGGAAATGCGTAGGATGCCCACAATGTAGGTGAAACTCAGCTTTACACTGCCTTTGAAGTACCTTTCTTCACTCTGAGCATTTGCTGTGGGAAGTTAGAGATTTAG